GTAACATTAATTATTCTTTTGCAAACAATCAATTAATCATGTCAAAAAAGAAAAAGAAAATTAAATGAGCTTATGGGACTGACTCATCGTCCAAGCATAAGGAAGACAATCATTAGGCCTGAATCGTGATGTTGAGATTGATGAAGAAAGCACTTGGAATTGAGATGTTTGTAATCTACACTACAAATTTTTTCCCTTATCTGAAGAGGAAGATGAGCAACTTGTGATGGAATACACGAGTAAAAAACAACAAGAGTTGCCACTCCATCAACTTCACCGACAAGAAGTTCATCATCATCATCATCATCATCATTATAGAGTTTGAAACTTTGAATGAAAAAGCTGTGCGAGAACCTTACAAGATATTTATGAACTAACCAAACAACAAGAAAACATCATTTTGTTTTGTCTCTTTGCCAATTGTAAACCTGTGAATTTTCAAGAAGTTGTGCAAGTCAAGAAGTGGAGAGATGCAATGCATGAAGAAATAAAAACGATTTGTGAAGAATGTCACGTGGGAACTTGATTCACTTCCTAAAGGATAGAAGGCGATAAGGGTTAAATGGGTTTACAAAACAAAGTAGAATGTGAAGGGAGGGATGGAAAGATACAAGGCGAGGCTCGTAGCAAAAGGATATAGTCAAAGAGTTGGCATGGACTATGATGAGGTATTTCTCCCGTTGCTCGCTTAGAAACCATATGACTAATCATTTCTTTGACAACTTGTAAACGCTAAAATTTACAATTGAATTGAAGACTAAATCTTGTAAAGAGAGTCACTGACAACCTTGATAGACCTGCGAGGTGCCTCCTTGTGTTTCTCAAGGAGTTCAAGTGATGTGAGGGGATAGAAGTATCAGGGGTTTGGCGATATGAGAATCAAGGCTTAAGGGTGGTCTCCTCCGAATGCCCGATGAGGGAACTGGCCTCAGCTTATGTAATGAACCGCAGGGGCTCGAATCCTACTAAGACTCTGAGTCATATTTGGTAGGGGAACTCTCTTTTCGGGAAGAGATTGGATTCTTTACCTCTATCTGTCAAGGCTTTCCTCTTTGGGTGAGATATGGGGCCTTGTCAAAAGAGAAATTTGGTTAGGATTCTGATCCTTGTTATGGACTGCTACAGGTGAATGGGCCGGACCCAATTCAACTTAACTCGGGGGATGGTCCAACTGGTAGAGCAGGCAGTTCCCAAGGTATTCTAGGCATGGGTTCAATCGGAATTGGGCCAAGGCTCTGAGTTGTCTCTTATTACTGTTACGGTTGGACCTCGTCAGACTCAATATGAATTTTGGCCCATACACAACTCAAAATAAGTGGAAGAGTCATCAAATGGATGTAAAGTCTATTTTCCTGAATGGAGTACTCGAAGAAGTCTACGTTAAACAGACATTAGGTTATGACATGAAAGGGAAAGAAGACAAAGTTTTGAAGTTGAACAAACTCTCTACGGGTTGAAACAAGCACGTCGCACATGGAACAGTTGTATTGATAGGTACTTTCAAAAAAAACAGTTTCACCAAATGTCCTCATGAGCATGTTCTTTATGTCAATACCAAGTTTTGATCGTGTGCTTGTATGTGGATGATTTGATCTTTATCGGAAGCGACCTAAGCTTGTTTGAAGAATTCAAGAAAGCAATGGCCAATGAATTTAAGATGACAAATATTGGACTCATGGCATGCTATCTTGGCGTTGAAGTCAAGCAAAGGGGAGACATCATCTTCATCTCTCAAGAAGGCTACACAAAGGAGATACTTAAGAAATTTAAAACGCATCATTGCAATCCTATAAGCACACCGTTAGAGTGCAGACTCAAACTATCCAAGCACATGAAGGAGAAAGAGTAGATCCAACTTTCTTTAACAAAGAATCAAGTCTATCATGACCCAAGCAAGTACATTGATACTGAACATAACTACATAAGAGAGTGTATTGAAAGAAAAAAAAAATACACCTATAGTGTTTTTTTTTTTTTTAATTTTTTTTCCTAAATCATTTTATTATTTACCATATTTTTCGAATGGTTTTTGAGAACAAAAAAGAAAATGAAATACTTTTAGTAAATGGTAATAGTTAGGGGTGTATACGAGCCGAGCCGAGCCAAATATCTAGACACTCGAGCTCGGTTCATGATGAACAGTGTCGAGCTTGAGTTCAAGCCGAGCTCGTTCGAGCTTGAATACTTGGGCTCGAGCTCGAGCTCGCGAGTGTGGGTGGATACTCGAGCTCGTGCTCGAGCTTGAGTAATCAAGCTCAAACGAGCTCGAGCTTCGACTTTATTGTGAGAAGGGGGTTGTTTGTCATTTTAAAAACTTGAAAATTAAAAAAAGTTACAAAACTTATAATTTGGCTCTTCGAGTACAATGAGGCTCACGAGCCTATCGAGCTGAGCTTCACCCTGATCGAACTCGGCTCGATACCTTAAACGAGCTCGAGCTTTTCACGAGCCGAGCTCGGGTAGCCCACGAACTATTCGGCTCACTTCTCATCCCTAGTAATAGTATCTCACAAGAGTATTCAATTTTAGGGCCGAGGGTAGCTCAATTTTTTTGGGCCATAAGAGGTCAAGTACAAGGATGTTTAGGTACGATTTCATAAAGCCCAATTAACATTTACATTTAGAATATCATTCATTGTGTAATAATTGAAATAATATATAGATACATGATCCAATATTTCCGGTTATTTTATTATCCTATTAATAATTAATAAAAAAAATTATCCTAAAAAATCGAAGGGTATGTGGAATGAAAGCGAAATTGAATTATGATAGTGGGAGTATGAATTTCTTGACCGAACAGGTAAAGCTTTTTTGATGGGGATTGACCACTTGTTCCATTTAAATCAAGCTTAATTTAAGTCTTCAAAATGGGCGACAATTTAATCTGAATTAGTTAAATCTTTCAAATATATATAGATATTATTATAATATCCAAATATACCCATCCAAGCTAAATTAATTTGAATCGTCTCATAAAACTATAGGGGTGGGCAAAATTTTAAGGTAGAACTGGAATCGACGGATACCTAGGTGTCTATTCCAGTTCCTACCCAGAACTAGCCGTAACAGGGTAGGTTCTAGTTCTAAAAAATTGGAACCGATACTGCACGGTTCCGATTTCATTTTCAAATCAAAGGAACTAGAACCGAAACCAAGAACTGGGACTAAATTGATATAATATTAAAGAATATAGGGTTTTTTAATAGTTTTCATATGGGATTTTTTAATATTTTACATATCATATAAATATATAAGAAAATTTTGGTTTTTTTATCTTAGTATCAAAAGTCTTATTAATTTTCAGTAAAAGATCAGTTTTTCAAAATATTCTTATTAATATTTATGTTTCACTTATTATTTGATTAAAAAATTAATATACATTAAGACATTTACATTAAATAAAAGTTTTTAAATGTTTATTATTGGTGAAAACAGACATCAGGTAAATATAAACAAATATAATATTTAATTTTTTGCACTTAATGTTAGGGGTATAATTGTAATTTTTAAGGATTTATTTGTAATTTTTTTTAAAATAGGGGCTAATTGATATTTTGCAGTGTACCAAAAACCGGAACTAGAACCTGTAACATAGGTTCTGGCTCCAAGTTTTTAAGAATCGGAACCGATGGTTCTGGTTCCCGTTCTGGTTCCAAATCAAAGGAACCGGTCGATTCTAGTTTTGATTCCGGTTCCTTTGATTTTGGTGGATACCCGGACCCGTCCACCCCTATAAATCTAATTAGTTTAGCCTAATTAAGTTTGAGTAATGCTATGTGTACTAACCAATTTGTACTAATCCAAATACTAACATTGAAAATTTGAACTTTTTTTTTTAGCTTTTGGGGGGAATTTCAAATTTTTAATGTTAGTTTAAATTGGTTAGTGCACATAGTATTATTATTCATTTAAGTTTTCAAAGATTGTGTTACAGGTGAACTTTAACAATAGAACAATGCTACATTTACACCACTCTTTTATATCATTTTCATTACATCATGATGTGTCATATATCACAATCACACAAATTTTTAATTATTTTAAATTTTTAATATTATAATAAAATTTATGTGATTGTGACATATGTCACATTATAATGTAATAAATATGGTGTAACAGAGTGTTATAAATATATCATTACTCTTAACAATAACTAACAAGATTGTGTTACAAATGAACTTTAACAATAACTAACTAATACTTCAAAATTGTGTTTCGGGTGGGCTTTTATTGTGGGTGGTGATTATCTTTCTTTTTTTTGGCTAAATTTATATAATAACTAAAAAGCTTTAATTCTATTCACACAAAAAAAAAAAAATTTAAAAATATCTTTCAGAATTAATGTCTGAATTTAAATAAATAAATAATACTCTCACAATACTAGCTAATAAGTTTGGGATTCAGTTTATAAGGTTATCATCTCAGTAAGTAATAAAATCGGCACTTGCTGTGGCATCTAAGAATTTATAAATAATAATAACTTATCACCATTACATATATATATATATATATATATATAGTAATCGGGATGCTCGAGCCAACTTGCACATACCTCGACTAATTTCTCAGGACCTTAAAGTTAATGATCAGATAATCGCAGTAATAACCACCTTTATTAGCAACCGAGAGGAATTCTTATTAGTAACCGAGGGAAACTAAATTCAAGACCTCTTGAGTAATATATAAAAAAGTCTCTATCACCCAAGGATGGTTAATCATTATATATTCTAACTCTTAAAGAGAAACACTTTTAATAATAATAACTTTATCAACTGCAGAGACTTATCTTTCTGATAGAAAGAAATTCCTTTGTTGTGTGGACCTTTAACCAACATGAATTAAAATAAGCAAACAAATAAAAGATGGACTGTAGGTATCTAATGCTTTTAAAATTTGATGCTCTTTTCCCCCAACATTTCGAGAGGGAGTGATTGAACTATTCTACTATAAATATGTCACACTTTATGCAATTCAATTCATGCCATCTCCCTCCTTCATTATCCTCATTTATATTCTAAACTTTGTTCTTTATATCAGTCCAGAAAAATGGCCACTATTGGTCCAAATCTCAGCCACCAAACTGATCACACAAACCAGGATGAGCTTGCTTCGGTTCAAAACCCTCAATCCCACAAGCTCAAACTCTCTCTTCTTTGGCACAAAAATTACCCTTCGGGTTTTCTCACTAAGGTGTGTGTATATATATATATATATATATATATATATCATTTCCTGTATATCCTTTTCTTCTTTAAATGCGAACAACTATATTGAAAACGTTATTTAACTCATCTTTAACCTAAACACACATGCATAGTGAAGAGTTTGGGTAATGTGCAGGTGTTTGCAGAGATTATAGCGACATATCTGTTGGTGTTTGTGACATGTGGCTCGGCTGCTCTGAGTGCAAGTGATGAACGGAGAGTTTCCAAACTGGGAGCCTCGTTGGCCGGTGGACTTATCGTGACTGTGATGATATATGCGGTTGGTCACATCTCTGGTGCCCACATGAACCCGGCTGTGACTCTAGCTTTTGCAGCCGTCAGGCATTTTCCCTGGAAACAAGTACGTACAATTCACTAGCTTAGCTTCTGATATTTCCAGGTCTTTCATGGCAAAAGATGGATAAAATTATAATTTATAAGCATAATTTAAATAAACAGAATTGATTATCTCCTTCTGTTTTGGAATATTTTTAGGTTTCATCGATGGAAATTATTGTAATATTGTGATGCCATGCGTGTACATCTGGTGTTAGGCACATGACATTCAATTACAGGTGGGTCGTCTTTTGGACCACATGCCATAGCTATAGCCCATGAGGTGGCATGGTCTCAGCCTTGAGGATTAGCTAACGCACCTTGATTGGTCACCCTAGAATGAAATTTTTAGAAGAAACAATGAAAATTTTAAGGCAAAAGCTACTATTCATAATCAAAATCAAACAATATGTCACATTTCACATACCTAAAACAATTTTAATAACCCTAAAAATTGATTGGCAATCAAGAAAATTCAAACCACATCGAGTCACTTATTATATTTGTGACTTACTTAGAAACAATAAATTTATAAAATGTTCAATAAACTCCTCGATTATCATATTTGTAACTTATTTTACAACATTAAACTTATAGATTATTCAATAGGCCCCCCAATTACCACATTTGTGACTTATTTTAAAACATTTGACTTGTAAAGTATTTAATAAACCTCTCGAATTAATCGAAATACATGCAAGTTAATCCAGACACCTCAGTAATCAAAAATAAAAAATAAAATAATTTAAATCGACTAAATAAATGTGTTTTAGATGACACTTACCATAACCCCAAAGTAAATAATAGCTTGTATTACGAAATAGTTTTTGTGGAGGACATAGTGATAGACACGAGTGAACTGAAATAATATAAACATTTAACCACATGAGAGATGGTAGGAATCAATAATGTAAGTGTAACCACTGGGTAAGTCTAAAATCGATAGGATTCATGCCTCAATAAATGGAATAGGTATATATTCAAGTCATGGGTCATGACTGCTATAATTATACTTCTCCATCATACAGAAACAGTATCAGAAATATCAAAAGTTCTTGTTTGTTATTATTATGTTATAAATTATTTTCCATTTAATAAATCAAAAAATATAAATATGTATTAGAAACTGCAATAATATAAAGAAATAATTTATTCTTGCAGATGGGCTAATTAATTGATAAAATCATTAATTCCATGGTCCATTGCTTCAGTAATGTGCCCCAACCCCAGTTCTGTTTTTATGAACAATTATGTGAATGGACCCTTTTCAATTGACCCAATCCCAAATTTGAGCATACCAAATTCAATTCCCTGTTTTTATTTTATGAAAATAGTTTCATAAAACAGTATTGGATGTCACCTTATTTTTTGCAGGTCCCATTTTATGCGGCAGCTCAACTAACGGGAGCAATTTCATCTGCAATGACATTGAGAGTATTATTGCACCCAATTAAACAAGTTGGCACTACATCACCTTCAGGAACAGACCTCCAAGCTCTGATCATGGAAATAATCGTAACATTTTCTATGATGTTCGTTACTTCGGCTGTTGCAACCGATACCAGAGCTGTAAAATACTAAAAATTCCCATTTTGGTTCAACATTTTCTTAAGAATTTGAAGTGTGGAATTCACAAGACTTCTGATTAACTATTACCATTTTGCAGACAGGAGAGCTAGCAGGTGTTGCAGTTGGTTCAGCAGTCTGCATAACATCTATCTTAGCAGGGTAAGCAAATTCTAAACCACTTATTTCAATTCTATGGCATAAAACCGAAATCCTGGAACAAATTAACTACAGACCAAATGAAAGAAAAGGGTAAAAAGATTAAGAGTTGATGAAACTAACAAGTTATGAGGTGATCCTCAGGCCAGTATCGGGTGGATCGATGAACCCAGCAAGGACATTGGGACCAGCAATTGCTAGCTCATACTATAAGAGCATTTGGGTGTATGTGCTTGGCCCAGTCACAGGAGCACTTATGGGAGCATGGTGTTACAGCATTATTCGAGAGACTGATATGTCATTCAAACTTCACAGAATGAACAGCGGTGACACTGATAGACAGCTTACAAACAAAGACCCTCTTAACGTTCTGTGAAAGAATTGACTCTGAAAAGTAGAGGACATTGTCACTCACCTGCATGCTGCGTTTGAATTTGTTCACAACAATTCTGTGTAGTGTGTGTGGCTCTTGTAATATACTGTACCAAGTACCAACCAGCTGTTTTCGAACCTTTTCTTTAAAATTCAAAGTGTATGTTCCCGCCCAAATCTCAGCAATCACTTGTCCTGAAACAGTTAAATAGTATAAGTTTGCAAGCATACAGAAAGCAATGTCAAAATTCGAATATAAGAACTATCTACAAAGTCTTAAATGAGAGCATACCAGTTATCCATGTACAAATGACATGATACGTAACATACGTTTGTCTCTCTGTCTCTCTGAAAACTTTCTGAACAATTATTAACTCTACCAAACATTCAAATTTGCAACCCCTCAAAAGAACAGAATCTTAAATATGGAGTTGAAAGAATTCAAAGGCAATATTAAGTTTCTTCAACATCGGCAATGTGTACTTACACTTATCTTTACCCTCTAGGCAATAATTACATGATTTAGATAAATAAAATCAAATGTTGATCATATACATAACAGCTACATGTCTTTATGTGAGTGATAATCGTAAGCTTCCAAATAGTTGGAAGTTAAGCTTATACAAAGGTGATGGCAAGTTGCCATTCCTCAATTTCATATCAGAAGAAATTTTCAAAATGCATCAAGCAGCTGACTTTTCACACACCGTGAAACTTTTGGGGTTGATGGTAATGCTCTTGGTGCAATTATCAGTTTTATAGATTCCCACCAATCGATCTGCCAACTCAAACATGTTGTTCCTCAGGCTGCAGGTGTATAGTACATAATGTATAAAATGAATTTGAGCAAATATAATGTCTGTTACATAATATTAATCCACAAAGAGATCTAACCAACCTTATAATTATGAACTGAGCATCCTTTGTTCTGTCCTTCACATAATGCCCAACAATTGAAACATTCTTGAAGTCTGGGACACCATATGAACCATACTAGTAAATGGAGGCCAAATAGAAGACAGAAGATAATTTAAAGAAACAAAAAATTGAGTTAGTTGATTCTAAGTACTGTACCTAGAGCTGCATCAATTTCATCCATTACATAAAGCGGTGTAGGCTTGTAGTGATGAAGTGCAAAAACAAGAGCTAATGAGCTGAGAGTCTGAGAACAGTTAAAATATCAATGTTAGATGAAAAAGTACTGGGATCATAATAATGCATCACTGACACTAAAAAATAGAGCACTAAATCAATGAGAGAACAAGATCAAAGGTAACCTTTTCGCCACCCGATAAATTTGCAATATTCTTCCAGCTCTTTTTAGGTGGTCTCACACTGAAAACAACACCCTCTGAGAAAGGATCCAGAGAGTCTACTAGTTCAAGTTCTGCATCACCTCCCAGAGTGATCATCTGCAGCAAGTTCATTACATGGACAAGGTACAAACATTAATCAGAGGAAACGGACACACATGGGGTAGAAACTGAATGCAACTCCAGAAAAAGTTGTGTAAGCCCAACTTAATGAGAAATAAAAAATTCAAGAAGACTCAAGCAAAAAGACTCGAGCAAAATCAGTAGTGGAGTTCATAAACTGCCAGCAATTTCACCAATTTTACATTTGACTAAAATCTGTTTAATACAAATTCAAATGATTCTATATAAAAACCGACATATCTGCAGAAGAAAAATTGCAATGGGAAAGAGAGAGAGTTCCAAACCTGATACATTTCCTTCAACTTTAAAGATATTGCACTAAATCCAGCCATGAACTCTTCCAACCTAAGATTAAGTGATCACATTCAACTTGAGTAAGAAATTATCAATTTTGAATAAGGAGAAAATGGAATATGTAGAAGGCAGATATAATATGAAGGAAATCCATGCCTTCTTTTTCTCCATTCATCATACAGTTTCTTTATATCATCACGTTGTTGAGTGACTGTGGTAAGATCCTCCACACGTTCATCATACAACGAGACCTTTCTCCGATACCTACAAAAAGGTAGTTTTGTTAATGATACACAGTAAATAAATAAAAATGTGGAAACACTTAAATGAACCAGAGAATTCATACTCTGAGATTGAATCAAGATTTGGATTCAGCTCTTTCAGTTGTGCTTCCAACAGTGCTACCATTTCAAGGGCTCTTTTTAGGTCACAGGCCTCAGTTAGAGTCCCATCTGTCAGGGTTGCTTGGAGCTTTTCAGGGTCCACTAGATCTTTCTGAATTCTGCAACGAATGAGATATAACGTCAAAGCATGCTCCAGAGTAGCAAATACACTATTACTCTAATCAAAATATCAAACTAACCAACATACTGTTCCAAATGCTTCACAAGAGCCATCTGCAAGTCATTAAGTCGCTTATTATAACCCTTGCCCTTCATTTCCAACTCTTTGTATGATTTTTTCATGTCTTGTAATTTATAATCAGCATCAACCTGTGTTATAACCAAAATGTTAACCTAAAAGATACGATCAAGAACCAAAAACCTATATATATATATATATGAATTCATTCACACTGTACCTCTGATGCACGCAACTCATCAACAATTTTCTTCACTTTTTCATAATCGCTCTTTGCGTTATCCAACACATCTTTATGTTGGTCAATCAACTGTAAAAAAGAGAAAAAAACAATCACATATCTGCAACAGAACCAACCCACCCTTGTGCCAAACTACCATAAGGGTAAACAAACAGAAAAATGGTTAAACCTTCTGTGTATTTTTGTAATTCTCTTGAACAGTAAAGGCCTTCTGCTCTATTTCTTTAAAAATTTCTCGCATTTTCTCCTTCTCTTTGATAAGCCGTTCTTTCTCCTTCCCAGCATCTTCAATCCCCTTCGTCAGCTTCTTTATCATCTTTTGTCCCGTCTCTATAAGAACTTTGTGACGGTTGATCTCAGTGCTATTTTTGTCAATATCCTGAGTGTGAAGAACAAATCAATAGATGCGCTACATTTACCATAATTAGAAGTTTCCGAGTAGAGAATAACTTACCGACTGAATCTTATCGACCTTTGCCTTTTGTGCTTTCAGCTTTTCACCACCAGCGTTTTCTATTTTGCTTTGAAGCTCCAAAGCCTGAAACAGACCCAAAGAATGAACATCCAGCAAACTGAGTTGTTAAAATAGAAAGGATATTTTTCTTCGTATCATTGATTCTATGAATTCCCCTACCCACCTTCTCCTTCAGCTTTTTAGAACCCTGTATAAGTTTATCAATCTCTTTTTCTTCTGCAGAAATAATGTTTTTGAGTTCCTTAAGTCTGTCAGTCTCATCCTTCCTCGGCTTTGATGCAGCCTCCAAGGATCCAAGTTGTTTTTCAAGATAACCGTGTTGCGTTTTTAAACTATCAATCTATTTGATAGAAAAAAAAAATTAGTAGCAAATCCACTTGAATATATAATATCCAAAAGAAACTTTGGACAATCAAATAACTGCATTAAACCTCTTTCTGGCTTTTGGCGAACTCCATCTCCAAGAGTGCAACTTCTTTTTCTGATGCCTGGTAATGCCTCATGGCTTCAGAAATTCTATGGCGAATACTATTTAATTTATCAACCATAGTGGACAGCTCCGTTTCAGCACTTCTAATAGCTTCAGTAGACACGCTGGTGGGCCGAATGGACGTCCCCATCTTGCCTCCACGTGGCTTACTTCCCCCACCACTCATAGTACCAGATTTTTCAAAAAGGGCTCCATCGAGTGTTACTACTCGTCGAAATTCTTTGTTCCCGCCATAAGCAATGCGGGTGGCCTAAATTGGAGAAGAAACGCAATTAAAAGGCCAAACCAAAATTAACTTTAACAGGGAACCTTCAATGAGCAGGTGTGTTTGTGCGGGAAACTAAAACTCTACCTGATCAAGATCCTTCACTACAATAGTGTTTCCAAGAGCCGCATAGAAAGCAAGTTTCATTCTCTCATCCCGAACTTTAATTAAGTCAAAGAGACGTGGAACTCCCTCTGGAGTGGTTACTTGCTCCTTTAACTTCGGCAAAAGATCGACTTGTTTCTCCTGCATGAAGAACCAACAAAAGGTTAATTCATAATTTATTAATCTCTATATTACAGTAATAGTGCCAAACCACTTACTCTAAGAAACTAAAAGATGCCAACATTTACCTCCCTTTAATAAATCACAACCCTAAAGATGCTGTAACTTGTGAATTTTGCGACCTATTCATCACCGTTGAAACCATCTTTTCTAAACAAATTATGTTTCCTAAATCAACTCATCCTTGCACCAATAGATTCTTTAGTAGGTCAACTACAAAATTGTTTTTCACGGCTTCGTTTCATGTTTAAGCAATTCAAAGCTCAGGAAATAGTATTTGAATACAGAATCAGATAACTCTAGCAATCAAATAGTTTGTCAGCACGGTATTCTAATGCAAAGTCTTCATGGAATCCAACTCCCAGATTCACAACTTCATCTATGTACTAATATATTAATGTCACTTTTGGCAGATTGAAATGTAAGAATTTCCCTATAAAAACCAGTTAATACCAATATCATGAATGTTGCAACACCAAGTTTCTCCCGCCGGAGCAGCTCAACACATGCTTGCGCTGCATCGGTTGTTTCTACCACAATGTAATCGAGTCCAGGGCATGCTGTTGATATAGCAATATCATATTTTGCTGCAAAGACAAAATCAGGAAAAAATTGAATAACTTGAGCACATGAAAAAATGACAAGAATAAGTTTTCCAAAATCAAAATATTCTAGAAGAAAGAAATGAGAAAACTTGTTGATGCATTAAGCAACACATATGCACCAACAGTCAAATCAAAAAGGCGGTAAAGTTTAGAATCATGGCTAGAAAGTACAACTAGCACAATTGCCATGGAGAATCGCAGCTTTGGTTAACCTAAATTTATATCACTCTGGACTAACAAGAAATTGTGGGAATCCAGATGCATAAAAGATTGAACTGAATATAACCAGGATCCACCCAATTCAATTTGACACCTTGAACTTAAAAAGTCAATACGACACAGATAGCAAATGGTAGCAAAGACTATACAGCAATTATGACACAGAATGCTCACCATCAATTGCACCTAAATCACCCATTCGGCCATGTATTCCCTGGATTTGGTTGGACTCCTTAGCCTGCAGAATTGCTTTTAGAACTGACCCCTGACTCTTCTCAGAATCCATTACAGACTTCAGTTCAGCAAGTTTCTGTCTTGCTGCTTGTTCAAGAGGAATAATTGCTTCTTGTTCTTTAATGCAATCCTGCAAAAGACTTGAGTGTTTCATCATATCCCATCACAGCAACAGAATAAACTATAAACAATAGTATATTCAAATAATTATCAAGAAAAGACTAACTTGTTCCACTTTGCGGGCCTCCAATGCTTCAAGCTTGTTCTTTTCTAAATCACTTTGCATATTTGCAATAGTTGCATTCTTAGTGTTGATCCTTTCCAATATGTCATCCATTTGCTTTTGAGCATCTTCAAAAGCTACACGGCCAGCTTCATGCTTAACAGTCATAAGGAACATTCAGTCAGTTATCTAGATTCATCCTCTACTTTGTGGTTCCTAACTTCTTTAATGTTAGTTAAAAATTCAAAAAGAATACACCAGCACACCTTATCACTTAGTAGTTTGTTTTCAGTACATGCAACTTCAAGTTTTCCCTTGTGCACAATCAACTCATTTTCCCAAGGTTCTAATTTTGCACGAACTGTTGTGAGCTCAGAGCGATACTTCTCAGCTTCAACTGCTCATAAATAAATCAAAAACAAGTACGTTAGGTGCACAGTTTATGTTTACAAGGTGTCAACAATGGAAAACACACCCATCATAACATAATGCAGTTCTAATGCAAAGTATGCATCATATGCACCACAAAAGTGTTGTTCCCGAAACCACTAATCACGTACTTTGTATGAGACATTATACTCAAAGAACTGGATATGAAAAGCCCAAAAGCCTAATAAAATAAATTGAACTTAAAATTTGAACTATACTGACACTTGATATCTAAACAACTCAATTATCAAGTAATGCATTGGAGATATGATAGTACATTTAAAAATCTGGTTTGAGAAAAACATTAATAGATCTGATTTAAGCAAACTCAGTATGAACCACCCAAAGGTTGCAAACTAATGATGGAGATCCAAATCTTCAGAGTAACATAGATTATTTTTTTCAAGAAATGCAAACGTAAAGAAAATATATATAAATCAGTATTGTATTTAAAACTAGTATCAGAATTGCTGTAACACATGCTGATCCTAGAAAGTATGATCATATAGTTACAGTTAAAAATAGCAATAAAACCACCTTTGGCATTGTCCTTAATCTCCTCCAGTATCTTCTCTTCTTCCACTAAAAGCTTTTGCAGATTTGGAATGCTATCTTCAAGTTTTGGGATCAGGTTTGTCGAGTTCTCACAGTCCTTTTTTAGGTCATCAATCTTTGAGGAATCCTGCCAGTGCAAGCCAAAGTAAGGTTTAGTATGTATACAATCCCCATAAGCCATCCCTTTTGCATTACCTTTTCAAGTTTATCTTCAAGTTTCTTGATCTTTTGCTTCATGTGTTTCAAATCTTCCCGGTATTTAACATCCTGCCTTTCGAACTCTTTGAACTCTTCCTTACAAACTCTAAGATCATTATCAAGTTCCTAATGTTCACAGGAAAGATTAAAACTTCATTATTCCAATAAACACAAAGAAAAATTTAGCAAAATCATCAAAATGACATAAGATTTATACACGCAAACTTCCCTTCAATAAACAACAGATCAAGTATCTGTCGTAAGGCAACTACTACTTTGAGTAATTATTTTAACAGTAGAGTGAAAGAAATGCTTGCCTCTTGTCTCTTCATATATTTATTGTGCACAGATTCTAGCTCCTTGAGTGTTTTATTGTTATCTTGGATTTTCTCCCTAGAATAAGATGTCAAAAACTTCATTACATATAGTTTTCTGCATTAAAAGCGTCATGTTGCCTCAACACTTATGAGGACAAAAATTACCTTTCATTCTTAAGATTTTCTTCTAGATTGGACACTTTTTCCTGCAGGTCTACCATTTTCTGACTAGTATCTTCAGAGGCCAATTGTGTAGCTTTCTCTTGCCATTTTAAGAGCGACAACTCTTTCAGCATGTAGGCTTCTGCTTCATTTTTCACATTCTGTTCCATCGAAATACATTAAGAGTTTGATTGAACATTTGTAAACATGAAGTACCAGTGCAAAGAAACACATACAGACCTCCAAGCTATCTCTTTCTTTCTCGGCTAACTTAACCATTTGAACAACACCAGATCGCTTCTCATTGAGAGATTCAAGTCTATCAGAAAATAAGAACAAAGTACACAGATTGTGAGACATATGAGTCATAACAGTATATAATAACAGAGTACCCACTTTAACCATGGTCCAAAATATATAGAATTGATTCTAAAGCCCTGCCTACCATCTAGTTATAATTAAGAGCAAAATATATAGTCAGATGTTTCTTTTCAAACATTCTTGAAGAATTCCAGCACTTTACCCTAATAAAAAATCTATTTGCATGGTAAATTATCTTTTTTCCTGAGCTTTTGATGGCAGCATTTATTTACCACAAAAAATAAAGCTAAGTTTTCATAATACTCTGACAAAATTAATGCATATCATGTATGTTTTCCAAGTGTTAATGAGTGAAGAAAGCAGGGATGAGAGCATGTACAGGGTAAACTTTCTACAAAGTAGCCTGCTGGAAAAGTACTCACTCCTTGTAAGATTCATCAATTTTCTCAACGTATTTGTTAGTTCCAATAATGTCTTCAAGATATTCAAGAAAGCCCTCATCATGTGGCCCTTGAGCTTTTGGCTTCATCAGTGAAATCTGCTCCACTTCACCCTGATAAACACGGACAACTGAGTCTAAGACAAGTAAAACGAAATTCTGACTCAAGATTAGAAATGCTGTGCAACAATTCTCAACCTGAAGAATCAGGAAACGGTTGTTGTCCAGGTCAACCCCTTTCCCTTTCAGTTTCTTAGTCACTTCAGTAAAATTGCTTTGGCGATCATTAATGTAATACTTAGAGGAGTTATCACGGAAAGCGACCCGGGTAATTACAAAATCACTTCCTGGGACAGCTTCATATGTTCCATCATCCTGTATTTGTTACAAACTCAGATCAGAAAACTTTAACAGATAAGTTACTTGAAGTTTCTTGATCACTGAGAATGAAAAAAGTAAGATCTCATCTAAATTTTAACATTCTTGCTAGTGAATGCCACAGCGAAAAGAAAGCCAACCTCAGTCATGCCTCACAAAGAACAGAATTTATTGCATAATAGCAACCAAATCCAAATAAGAAAGACTATTTTAAAAATTACCAAATCAACAATCTCCTGAAAATGAACAGAAACACCGGCACTATCTAGATTCTGATGATTTGTAGAATTATGAATAAGCTCTGAAACTTTGTTAAGCCGCATCTGCACATTTCAATTAACACAATCTCAATCTTGTATAAATGATAGGTTATTTTTCTACTAAAAGCAAGAAAAACATTTCCAAAACAGAAATTAAAGTATGACTGTGCAGTACACCTGCTTGGCTCGTTTCCCAAATACAAAAAGCATTGCATCTATCACATTACTCTTCCCACTCCCGTTCGGCCCAACCACTGCAGAAAAGCTCTAACACCAACCAAAATAAACAAATAAATAAGTAGTTAAATAATTCTTACCAAAAATACTAATAATAAGCAAATCAAACCAAGCGTGTGCAACTTTTTGCCTGATTTTGTATCAGGAAGACAGATATTCAATTCCCAAACGAACCATGTGTCCTGTTTGGTTGAGGAGAAACCGAGATAGAAAATATAGGAAAATCAATAACCTTTCAATTGTCTGCTTAACTGAGCTCATTGAGTTTAAGTATTTCCATTTAATTTAATATAGACAAAAAGCACATACTAATGATTGAAATCAGTTGGTTTTCCTTTTAATTTCAAAAAATTTCCCCGGCAGCCAAACAGAACCATAGCTTTGAATTTAATTAAAATAAACGAAACACCTTTACTAATAATTCAAATCAATTGACTCAATTCAATATAACCTCAATTTTTTCTGGGCAACCAAACAGAACCATAGCTTTACTAATCACTCAAATATGTTGACGCAAATCAATTTGACCTCAAATTTTCCTTTTCATCCCTACAGAAACTAGACGTGCTCCTGCTAACCTTGTGGAAAGGACCGACACGCTGTTCACCGGCGTACGATTTGAAGTTCCGCATCACCATTTCTTTGATGAAGAGCCTCGGCCGTTTTCCGGTTCTTTCGTGAACTGAGTCGTCCGCCGATTCCATCACCATTTTTCCCCCAGTCTACTCAGCGACCCTCACTGAAAAAGCAAAAAAGTAAACTAAAAATGAGTCTCTATCTCTCTCTCTCTTTCTATACTTTTTGTTTTTAAATTTTGGTGAAGGCTTTTGGCGGGAAAATGAAAGTTTTATGAGAATTTTAAAAGGAGTGCATATGGGCCGTTTGAAGGGCTTTTCTAGTTCGGTTTCAGGCCCATTCTCTTTTTTCTGGGTCCTCTCATTTGGGTTCAGGCCTAATATCTTTTATGGGCCTCTCTTCTTTGGTTTCAGGCCCATTCTCTTTTTCTGGGCCTCTCTTATTTGGGTTCAGGCCCATTATCTTCTTATGGGCTTCTCTTTTTTGGGCTCAGGCCCATTCTCTTTTTTACTTTATTTAAGTAGTAACTATAAAATGGAATGCATTGGAATCAATTGAAAATTTGAGTACATTTATTGCAAAATCTACTAATAATTCCAATTTTGAATAGAAATAAGATTTCATGTTGCATATAGGAAGATATCTTTATAATGAGTTTTGGATAATCTTAATACATACAACAACCACTAAATCTAACTATACGTCGTGTTATAATTAATAATGTAAAAGTAAACTCTTGTCGCAACTCGGGTATTTAAGATTTTGTTTATACAGGAAAATCTTATTTGTCGTGTTACTACATTGTCGTTTTTTGATATGACAAACTAGTTCATCACGAGGATACCAATAAGTTACCTTAAAAGCGTACGTTTAATTACTTCATTTTCATTTTTCTTTCTTGTTATTAATGAAGTAAATGTGATATTCCATTCCTACTAGCATCCTCTTAGGTAGTTCAAAAAATAGGACGAGCATTGAGATGTGTGGTTAATTCACACTGTCTGTTCTTAGGTTCGAATTTCTCTGACTCTCAAGATTTAATTAGATGCTCATGGTGGTGGAATGTTGTGTTAATCACTTTTATTAAAAGGAAGTGTTTTTCCCAAATGTAATTTTGTTTCCAAACCGGGTTAGTTGTATGAGATTATGAAATAATTTGGAGAAGGATATATTAGAGAATTCACAAAGGAAAGTCCAAAGAGGCATAACCGCAACAAATAAAACAAAATCAGAAAACAACAAATAGCCACATTAGCAAAATAAAAGCCCTTCCAAAAGTGAAATTATGTGGCAGAAATAACCCAATTTAGCCCCTTTACGCGTCCAAATCTCACATCCCTCTTCCTGTTTTCGTTTGGACAAATGTACACTCTCACTAACCTTCCGTTACATTCAACTCCAATATAAAAACAATCTTACTCTCCCTTAATTTTCCACACATTCAAAAACATTATAAGAGAAGAAGAAGAAATCAAGAAGAGAATTCAGTAGTACTCTACTCTCTCTTCTTCAAAGTGTTTTTTGATTATTTTAATTCCATTTATGTATGTTTAAAAGTTCTTTGTTTTGGAGTTCTTACATGCAATACATTTAGTTTTGTCAAATCACGTAAAATATTGTGTTTCTGTGTAATTAATATTTTTCTCATATTATACTGTTATTTCTCCGATTTTTAACATAGTATCAAAGCAGATTCTGATTTTTAACAAGTTTTATAGTATTTTATCGTATAAACTAGTTCAATTGGTTAGATTTCTCGTATTTATATAAGAGATCTTGTTATTAAATCTGTATCCTAACCAGTTGAAATGTTTGGATCTGTCCAAACTATACAAGAGATTGTGTTATCAAAACAGGTTTTGCTAGAATTTCAAAGTTCATGTTTGTTTATGGTATTATATCAGTATTTTATTGTACTATTTAGTTCAGCTGGTTGGATCTCTTAGAACAGTAGATCTCTAGTAATTATGTGAAAGATCTTCACCGATTCATCTTTATTTACGTGTACTCTTGATATTTCATCGTACTAATCAGTTCATCTTGTTATCTCTTAGAATGATAGGTCTCTTATAATTATGTAAGAGATTTTATTTTATCATCGATCTCATTTTGGAGTTTCACAGGTGCATGTTTTCTTTGTATAAGTTGGTTAGATCTTTCAGAATGATAGATCTCTTATAATTATGTAAAAGATGTTATTATCAAATCTCATTTTGGAGCTTTAAGGGTGATTTATTTTTTTATTTTTTTGATAATCGAAGTGTTCGAACAAGTTTTACGGATGCATGTTTATTTACGTGTTTTCTTGATATTTTATCGTAATAATTATTTCAATCGTTTGTGTCCCTCCTAATAATATAGAAGATATATATATTACTCGTTATTATCATAGTTTAAATTAATTAGCAGTTAATGATGAAAGTTACTGAAATTTCGTTCTATTTTTCCTTTATTTTTATTTATTTATTATTTTTTTTTTTTTCAGGTTGGAAGAATGAGTACCGATCAACTCCTACCGAGTGGCGACTGCCTTGTGGCACCTCCAAGGTTCGCATCAATGGTGTCAAAGCATGATCATCCTCATGATCAGGTTGCAGTGCCTCATGGAGAAGGCAGTTCCAAGCAATACAAGAGGCAGTCCACTACTGTTTCGGCAGCCATGGACGATTACCTTGAATTGCCTGGTGAAGAACAGGTGCTAGGACGGAAAGCTGAATGTCGCTTTTGCCAAGAGGAAGATTTCATTTCGAAAATGGAGGCCCCTTGTGCCTGTAAAGGGACCATCGAGGTATATGGTTGGTTATAAAATATTTTAAAGTTTCGAATTAGGAAGAAAATCTATGTTACCATCTTAGTATTACTGATATGTACCACAAGTTAATATTTACTAATACTTAATAAAAGTTAGATTTAATCCCTAATTAATATCTTCCATAATTAGGCATCAACCTTTGAAGGATTAGTGATTAAATATAATCCAAACCACCCTTACATTGTCGGATGGAGCAGCAGAGATTTTTGAGTGTATTACTCAAGAAGTCTTGAATTTGATTTTCCTCCTTACCTAGTAAAGGTGACCACTAGAGAGTTTACCCGACCTTAACTTACTGTCTACTAAGGGTGACCACCGGAAGTGTATATATATATATATATATAATCCTATAATCCTCAGTTCTTTTTTTTTTTTTTTTTCATCTCTTATTCATTCTATATTCAAAGTTTTTCAGGCTATAGCTGTAACGTACGTATGCATAATGTCCTTATACATCTTCAATATAAATACACCTTTGATTCTTTTTCAATTTCTTTTTCCTCAGTTTGCCCACAGGAACTGCGTTCAGAAATGGTGCAACGCCAAGCTAAGTGTCACTTGTGAAATCTGTCGTCAGGTATTTGTCGATCGATTCTCTCATTTTTTGTATGCATAAGCTATTTATCAACCTGTAACATGATATGTTATAAATACTAATCTTCCTCTTCCTGTGTATGCAGCGTTACAAGCCTGGTTATACTGCTCCGCCACCTTCAGCGCCTCGCTATATTCACCCTCCATTCGATATAACGCAAGTCTTGTTATGGTTTCAATTGCATTAAGTCGCAGCTGGGATTAGTACTGTAGCTAAAGAAAATGTTATTAATTACCATTGTTTCTATGTTGTGCATACTGAATTAACCAACTTTCTTGCAGTGATTCCAATGGAGGTCCAAGAATATTATTGTTCTCACCAGCAATACTGCAGCCACGACCAATCGGGCAATCAGAGGAAGAGCTCCAGACTGAAGAATTAACTTTGGCTAATAAATGTTGTGCTACCTTTCTAATAGTAAGTTTCATACAAATTATTCTCAGGGGCGGACGTCCAATTGATCCGACTTTAGTTTCAGATAGATAGTGATATACTGACTGTTTCTTATTCTGTATTTTACAAGATGCAAGCTGTGTTCTGTTGCTGCAATGCAATGGTAAGTACCCTTCTGCATTATCTTCATCATCTTTCGCTTAATTTATCCCAGAACCAAATAATTGTCTCTTTTCATTATGCAATTTTGTTTGTCATATGATTTATGAGCTAATTATTTATATGGTATCGACCCTTGGCAGTTGCTGACGGCGCTGATCATCAAGGATGCTCTTAAGGGTCCACATCCTTATGAAAAAATTGATACCAGTGGCATCTTCTATGTAAGAACAAATTTCAGTTGTAATTTTTCACATATATGGTATCAATTTTAAGCTTAAATATAATTATAGTAATGCTATAACATGTTTCCATGATGTTGCTTCAAAAGTTTGCCATTGCATTCATGCTGCCTTCCGCTATCATATCATTCCTGATCCATTTCTGTCGGCGCCAGAAACCTGAAGTAATTAACCTTTCTTTCTTTTCCTTATTCATAACTTTTTGATTTCCTGTTTCTAGTATTGTTTTATATTGGGACTTAATGGCAATGTATGTAACTTTATGATTAGGAAACAACATCTGAGAACACAGAAACGCCAGAAGTGGCCGTTGTGGTAGACTCAGGAGACCAAAATGATGCTGCTGATCGTCAGCAGCTCCAAGACGAAGCTGTTGAACCTGAGGTAGTTTCAGAATCTGAAATTCACCCTATTGTGTCATCAATCAGGAACATTGTCGCAAGAGAAAGGTCTCAAGGCACCAATTTCTGTCAATGTCAAGGCCAGAATCCTGAAGTAATCTTTCTTACTTCTCTCTTATTGGTAACATTTTGATTTCCAGTTTACTAGTATTGTTTTATAGTTGGAACATGATGGCAATATTTGCAACTTTGTGATTAGGAAACAGCATCTGAGAACACAGAAACGCCTGCAGAAGTAACCATTGTGATAGACTTAGGAGACCAAAATGATGCAGCTGATCATCGGCAGCTCGGCGACGAAGCTGAAGTTCACCCCGTTGTGTCAAAGTTCAGGAACATTGTCGCAAGAGAAAGGTCTGAAGGCAACATTTAAATATATATGCTTTTGTTTTGAACATCCAAGAGTTTTCTTTATTGTGTTGGACCTCTGTTTTACCTTATGTTTCTTTTCAAACCAGACTTATTTTCATGACTATACATAAGGTTTTTCTATATATACATATAAAATTCGGACTCCTGTTGGATGATACTTGCTGGAGAAATTGGATTATATACTGAAACTGTTGGCCTCATCAGGGGAATGAGAGTTGACACATTCACATTACATTACCAGGAAGAGCTAGATTGAAATTAAATGTTAAGGCAGCATTAGCTGAGAGGTGGGATTATAAGGGTAGACAATAGAGGATAAAATTTATTGCCATTTTCTGCCACTCAGCTGTTCTGGATCAACATTAATACAGTTGATTGTTAAAGAGGAGGCAAAGGTCTGAAACCCACCTTCATATTTCTCTGTGGAAGCCTATACTTCTACATAGATATGAAGAGTAAATCACAACAAGAGATGCTGCTCAAACTCATTGCTTAGTTGAATTGATAAAGTTCAGGCATGCTTATTTACCCCCACTATGCCACCTTAATGGTACCCAGAAAAGTTACAAGTAGAATGAGTAGCCCATGTTAAATCTCTGTAGGCATCGCATCTTTAATCTGGCTTCCAATTTCCACCCATAAATTTCGGGTACATGTAGGGTTCCATAAGCTCACGCTTTGTCCATTATCCAACCCCACTATGTTACTATTTGCCAATTCTTTTTGTTTTTTTCCCCTTTTTCAATGGCTTCTTTTTACACTCTTCACATGATCAAAGTATCTTTCCTTAATTTGGTGTCTACTTTATTTTTCTTTTGATACCCAGAAACCCAAATGAAAACCAAATTATTTTTCTTTTGATTTGAGTATTTTTGAACCAGTTTGCTAGCATCTCAACTAATCCTGAAGTCCTAAAGTTAAGGCTGAGTAAACTTTCAATGACCATCCTTTTGGGTAATACTCCAAGAGTCCATGTTCAACCACTAGCCGAATTGATCCCTACATTGTAAGTGTAATAGAACAAGAAATTTCATTGATAATATGATAGATTAGCCACTCACATTTAGGGGAAATAATCCTCAAGGAGTGACTTTTTCACATTACAGAGTTAATTATGAATTAACTCGAACAAAATAAACCCAAAACATAAAATATTAAAAGGGAAATACAGTAATTCTGTAAAAGAGTCAGAAAATATTGTTGCTTTGAATAATTATTTTTAGCTTAAGGGCATTTGGGGCCTCCCTCCTTGGTCTTCCAGTTGTTGTAGCAAGGGCAGACTTGTTTGTTGCCATAGAAACCTGGGGGCACACAAAGGCACTTTTTGCAACACTTCTGACAGAAGAACATGCATGGCTTATGATATTGAGTCTTGCTGCATCTCCTCGTACATTGTGATGGACATTCTGGTCAATTCCAACCCACCACCACAATCAGTAACTAAAATTTCTTGACCATTGGTCAAAACAGTTTTGACCAATTTAAAAAAATAAAAAAATGAGATGGGTAAAAAGTTTTGAGCAACTTACGGAAGCTTTTGAGACTCCCAGGGCCATAATGTTTCTGAAAAAAACACAGAAAATCATACCCTCATTTCATTAGTTTCTTGCAAATATGAGACCCCGAGGAAGAAAAGACGAAGAAGAAGAAGAAGAAAAGATTATTACCTGGTCATTGTGGTGACCTCCTTGGCCATGAGCTGCCATCACCTACATTAACAAAACAAATCAAAATAAGAACATATTGTAGTGAAAAAAAAAAAATCAAAAGGGTATTTCTTCTTCTTCTTAGTTTTTTTTTACCATGGTTTGAAGCATGGAAATGGCAATGAGAGCAAAGATGAAGATGGCAACAAACTTAGCCATGACTACTTTTTATTTTTTTAAGGTTGATACAAACAAACCCCTCTCTCCAAGTGACAACAATGAGAGCACCTAAATAGCCCAAGAAACAAGAGCAACCACAACAGCAACAAAAGTAGATGGCAGAGGGGTTTGTTTATGGGAAAGGTTTTGGTTGGGAAGAGGTATAAATAGGGAGAGGGTAACTAAACGAGGGATTGTTGAAGAAAGAAAATTATTAGCTGTACTCAGTCATGCAACATTATCTTGTACTCTCTCTATTGGATGGATGACACCTTTGCATTTTAGATTTAAAGGACATTTTTGTGGGTACCCATGTGTTTTTCAGTTGTTGGGAGCTTTTTTTAAAAAAAAGAAAAAATATGGAAAATATTGTACTTAGATCAACTCTCCATCCCGATTGACATAAAGTGCGACGTGGGAAGTCTCCTTGTCGATACTCCATGTCAATCGAGATAAAGAGTCGGTATGCAAAAACGGTAAATATAATCTGACTCAAAAATATATATAAATTTGGCCTTCTGAATTTTTAGAATTACCATTTAAAGTAAAGTTTGAGATATTTCTAATAAATTATAATAAAATTAACGATAAGATACTCGTAATATTTTTTTTTTTCATTATTGAAATATCGATTTATATGGAATTTGACATCAATTTTGTATATATAATATTATTCTTTAAATAAATATTATTTAAGCATAATAATGACCGCAATTGCGATAGATTATCATTAAATTCACATTATAAAAGGCTAAGATATAAAGATAATGCTAGTTAGAATCCCAAAAAATTATATGTAAATATATTTGATCAAATGGATCTTATATATATATATATATATAGTTTTTAATTGACAATTTTAGACCATATGTGAGGCCAAGATGCACATGGGAGAAGCCAATTTATGATATGATAGGATCTACATTCTTTCACTTTCATTCATGTGCCAAGCTCAAGCTCATGTCATGCCCAAATTAAATATCAAAAGACTATGCTTCAAAAATGACTACATGACCTCAATTATTGTTGTGACAATTACATGTGATGGTAACTATAATCTATAGATATATTGTTTTCAATAGAATTATTCTAAGGTGTGTACCCAAAACCCATTTTTTTCTTTTCCCTAACACAAGTTGATTTATTTTATGTGAATGGGTGAGTAGTGATTTAATGCATATGCATCATGGTAGCTTTTCTTTAAAGAGATCAACAAAAATATGGATAAAAATTCAATGCAATAGGTTTTGCATATCCAATGCGAAGTCTTGAAATTTTTTTAATATACGGACCAAATGTGAGCGTTCAATCGCTAATTTCATAAACCCTAAAATCAAAAGCTAGCGGATAGATGCTCGCCTTTGATCTGTACGTAAAAAATTTCAAGATGTTCTATATAAGAGATGTAAAAGACCTATAATGAAAAACATACTTGTATAAATTGAATTGTAATGTTTCAACAAATATATTCTAATATAATCTTAAAAATTTATGTAAAATCATAACTTTTTATAGTTTCTAATCCGAAATTAGTTTTAGTTAACTCATACATGGGTAACCTAACTGGTTAGAATAAATTGAGAATAGTGTGGATAGACGTACGGTCTTATGTTCGATTCCTCACTTGAGTATTCGAGATTTAAGTGGGGGATTGTGGTGGCGGGTTTCTGGATTAATCTTTTCTTGAAAATTAGTCGAAGTGTGCATAAGTTATCCCACATACTTTGGTCTTAAAAAAAAAAAAAAAAAAAAAAAAACTCTATAGTTAGTTTTGATTAATTTCGATAGATATTTTTTACCAATTAGATTATTTTAAAGTTTTAATTTATAAACAAGTAGATTAGAATAATAAATGTATATTAAAAAATTAAAGAGGCATGGGGCTAAATCCTAAGACAACGTTTGGGTAAATGGTAATAAAAAAAAGTGATTTTAAGAAAGGCGGTGCATTGAAGAGTGGAGGGAGAAGGAAGGTAAGAGTTGGTTAAGTGGGTTATGGATAAGGGGCCCACTGGAGCAGAAAAGTCAAAGAAACTGAAACCCTTTTTATTAAAAATATTGAAAAAGTTAATCTGAAATAAGTGCTTTTTTTATTATAAAAAATTTCAACCTTTTGTCTCTTCACATGTGATCCCTCTGACCATAGCACGTGACCCAAAGCTGCGCCGCTTTGACAAAACTGCGCACCATGCGCTGTGAACCCGCGTCCCGATCCCATCCTCTTCTCTCTTCCTTTTTTTTTTTTTTTGGGCCAATCTTAGCCGTGCATCACCGACATTTCTTCCTTTCTACTGTGCCCTATAAACCATAACCATATTACTAATTATTAATGTTAAAATTAAAATTAAAAAATTGAAATTAATAGATTCTAACCTTTTTTTTTTAAATTTTTATTTTTGAATGATATATCTCAAAAGAAAATTTAATTATCCAAAATAGCTCCAAGTTTTATACATAGTATAGAATTTGGGAGGATAATGAAGTATTAATGAGGTGGGATAATGTACATAATTAATTATTAATTAAGCTCTAATTGCAATGTACCCTTGGCTACCCACATCTGATAATGATGGCACGCTTGTTTAATCAAGTCTTCTATTGGACTCACACATCCTATCTTAAAGATTTTTATATAATTTCAAAATGAGTCTATAAAAAGATTTTTTTTTTTTTTTTTTTTTTTTAATTAGTGATTTCGGTCATTACTAGATAACCATGTTATGTACGAACGACTATCTAATGAGGTTCATTGGTACAAAAAAAACGACTTTAAATAGTCATTAGATAGTTGTGCGTTCATTGTAAGATTTGTTTGGCTTTTGGGAATATTATTATTAGTATTCTCAAAAAAAGTTAAACAGTAAAATATCATTATTCTTAAAATATTATTTTATATTTTTTAATTTATTTTAAACCTTCTAAATTTATTAATTTAACTAAACATCATTAAATATATTTTTTTAGAAATTACAAAAATACTTCGGCCACCTTCTGGCGGTGGTGGCTGACTGTCCGTATTTAATGGGTAGATTGAGGGTATTTTTGTTAACTTTTAATATTTTATTATATGGGTGTTTAGTAAATAAACAAGGGTGTTCAGTAAATAAACAAACATAGGGGATATTTTTGTTAATTTTTAAATCCTACATCGTAATACCCGCTCAATTTAATTTTTTTCAAAAGATTATTCTAAAAACTATCAGAATAATGAATCAAACAGAGCCTCAATCGTTATGGGTATTACTAGATAACCATGCTATGTGTGAATGACTGTCTAATGAGGATATGTGCGACATGCATACATGTTGACATGACACATCTTCATTAGGTAGTTGTACAGAACAAAATAGTAGTCAATGATATCGGTCATTACTAGATAACCATGCTACGTACGAATGACTGCCTAATGAGAATCCATGTATCATACACACATGCTAACATAACACACCTTCATTAGGTAGTTATACGTGACGTGAGCCCTAAGAACAAAAAAAATTACTCCAGTGATTTCAGTCATTACTAGATAACCATGCTATATTACTTCAAAAAAAGCTTCCATCAAAATTCAATAGGAATCTTAGAGTAGTTATCATAAAATTTATAGACTTGTTGAATAAGAAAAAAGCGGGGGTTTTCTGTCTTTTTATATCTTTATTAGTTTTATTATCTTTTTCTCCAAATTATATATGCCAAAAAAAAAAAATATATATATATATATATATAAAATATACATATTAAAGATAAAGTTCATATCATCAAAAAAGAAATTAAATCTATAATATACATATTAAATATAAAAACCATCATATTAAATTGATAATATATTACAATAGGTGATATACCTATAATTAAAAGATTCGAAACATGACAGTATCAAGATTTAAAACATGAGTTGCCAAAAAAACCCACCCGACAATTATACATATTAGTATTTTTTTTTTTGGTTAAAATGCCCACCTTTCACAAGAGTTGGATCCGCCCCTGATTAATGATTATAATGAATCCAACTATCAAAATGATAATTATAATACATGATACATATATATAAATATATTACATATTAATAGTATAATATTATGTATTATTGTATTAAGTAATAATTATTAACATACATAATGTCTCTTTAATATATAATGTATTACATATGATACATTATACAAATATATTATTATAAATTTTAAATAAATAACTACCATATATATTATAATAAATTCTAAATAAATAGTTATCACAATATAACAAATACAATTAGGTAATAGAATTGAAATAATGATTCAACGAGGGACAAAAAGAAAATTATAATGATTTATTGATTCATTACGATCAATCAAAACAACAAATAATATATTACATATATATTATATATTAACGTAAGATTATAGATAATAGCATATTATGTATAAATTATAATATACAACATATATATGCTATATACATTATACTTATATGGTATATACCATATATTATATACAATATATAATGTATAATGTCAAATGTATACCATATATAATGTATAATATATAATGTCGAATGTATAATTTTTGTTTTGTAGCATTAACATATTATGCATAATATATATATATTACAAATATTTATAATGATTTATTAGATTTAATCTAGTTTTATTTATTACCTATTTGTATATAGTTTTATCAAATATTTATACAATTATAATTTGTTATTGTATAATATATAATTGATTTTCAAATATTAAAATTATTATAGGTATATATGATTGATTTTCAGATATTAAAATTAATATATGTATATATGATTGATTTTTTATTATTAAAATTAATATTGATATATATATATATATATAATATACAGGCTGGGTCGGGGCAAGACTTATCCCGACCTTAGCCCGTCCCCAAATTCCGGGGCTAATCTTAGGCTCGATCCCGGCCCAAAGCCTGAACGATTTAGGGAAAATCCACTCGATCGGGGCAGGTCTCCGCGGGGCCGTGCTTTGTGCTCATCCCTAGAAAAAGGTATGAAATAAGATATTTTTGTCATCTTAATTATCACCTAATTACATAATTACTTGTGTTGAATTAGTTTTGCAACAATTTCTAGCGCTTCCATGTCTTTTTTTGTTAGTAAAATACTTTTTCCCATCAAAATAATGACTTAATGACACATTCCCATCCCTAGACTTTTAAAATAACACTTTACT